GAGGCAGGCACGTGTTGCTCACATGCCCCACGTCTCCAAAGGATGGAGAAGCGGAGATGAGGGGACCACTGTGATCATGCTCCGTCCGGGTGTGCTTTCTCTCTCTCTGTTTATGAGTCTGTCTCTGGCAAATACACATGCCCTCTGGCAATTAAAAAAGGAAAACAGACTCTTCTGAAGTACCAGATGTTTTTCAGTTTTTCACACAAACTCATGTAGAGTTTCCAATGTCCCTACATCTTCCATACATCTGTGGAAGAATGCGGGTGATGACTCTGTTGACAGGGCAGTGAATTGGTTGGGGAGAGAGTTGGACAGTGTTATCTGAGTGCCACTGTGCTTTCTTTCCCAGTCTGCCTGTCCATGACTATAGAAAGTAAGATTTGGTTTTAAGGTTTTGTTTTAATTTACAATGCTTTAATCATATTCATTAAGCTTTTAAATATATTTTTTCCCCTGAGCTTTAATACAGATTAATCAAGCTTTAGCTGTATTGTATTTAATAGATGATACAGTTGGGGCCAGCAGGTGGCATGGAGGGTAAGGCAGCACATCCCACGTGGCCAAGTCTGCCATTTGTGTCTCAGACTCAGTAGTTTGAAAATTCATACTGGGCTTGAGCGCGAGTGTGCCCAAAAATCCCAAGAAGGCAATGGAAGACAAGGGGCTGCAGCCCCCTTTAGGGTGATTTCTTATCCCCCTTCTCACTTTCTCTCTCTATTTATCACTATCTCTGTCTCTCTCTGGTGAGAGAATGCACCCTATAGCAAAAAACTAAAGTGATCAAATTTATTGATTTTGTAATAAACTGCTTCTATTAGATTACAGCTGATTTTGCCCTCTTCTGTTTTAAATGTCTTTAGTGGGCATACAGCTCATGTTGCCTCCTTGTTTTCAGAGTGCTCGTCTACGGGCTGCTGGCATTGGAAAAGATTTCAAGGAGAATCCCAACCTCAGAGACAACTGGACTGATGCAGAGGGCTATTATCGTAAGTTCACCCTCGTACTAAGCGTAGAGGTTGTTGTGACACCCCATAAAAACCATGTCGATTGATGCGGTCGCGTGTATTTGGAAAAACAAGTCTCGTCACAGTGCCATTATTTAGAAAGTGGCATATCCAGCAGCTGCGTGAACCCATGTTGCATTCTTGTACGCAACCCAGGAGCACCACAAATGAGGTGAGAGACTTGATTACAACCTGAATCTATTCATACTCTCAGCTGTGAGATAACCCTGCAGAAGGAATAGTACATCACTTGCTTGTCTTGATCTGAAACCAAGAAAAACGACAAGGAACTTTGGATGCCAGTCATGCAGCATTTGTCATGCAGGATTACAATGGGAAACGCGTAGTGAGCACATTTCCTCCCTACTCATTGTTACAACGTCAGCAATTGATAGATCGACAAGAATTCGTAGTGATTGGGGGTGGGCATGCTTTCTAGCGATGTTCTGAAAGAGAAGTGCCTAGTGGAGGCATGGCTTTGAGTCTCCGGTATGTGTAGGGAGCCACACAGTGGAGAGCCAGTTTGTAAGTGACTGCTCTGTGCTTCCTACTTTTTCGTTCTCTTTGATCAGAATTCTGATTGTTAATTTTCCTTTCCTAGGCGTGAACATAGGTGAGGTCCTGGATAAACGTTACAATGTGTATGGCTACACTGGACAAGGTGTGTTCAGCAATGTTGTGCGGGCCAGAGACAACGCCAGAGCCAACCAAGAAGTGGCTGTAAAGATCATCAGGAACAATGAGCTCATGTAAGTTTAGACATGTGATGGAGCCTTCAGTAACACGGGTATTTACAGAAGCGTCGCACAGTCTGTGGAAAAAGACAGTCATGTGTCACATAATGATTCGGTTAAAGATCACATGCCAGTGGGGATCCTGTAAGATTATGCCGCATAGCTGTATGTGTAAGCTCGCTCCGAGGTGTTCACACAACAGAATGGCCTGACGATGCCTTTCTCAGGACATGTCCCTGTCGTTGAGTGACACATGACTGTATTGTGATTATGAAGTGACAGAAAGAGTCCTTTTCATTTTCCAATTCATAGTCATATGTTACATGTGAAGTGCTAGAACCGTAGACTAATCGTTGTATTGAATTTATTTCAGTGTATTTCAGTATCTGCTATGTGCAACTAATTTCAACTTAGACTCCCTCCTCCTGCTCACCTTCTACCATCTCTTGCTATGTAAACCTTAAGACAGCAGGTGCGATATAAAAGGATTATATTGATGAATTATCACTGAACGTATGGTGGCCTTCAAACGTGAGCTGGTTTGTCAGATATGAGAATTCCTTGCATCTTTTGTCTATCTGTCATTCCCTCTTCCCTTTGATAGAATAGGTGATTGCCATACTTCATGTGTATTAATACGTAATGTATTCCACACACTGAGCCTGGTTTAAAGTCAGCTCACTGTTGGTTTTACCATTTCTTTTGAAAGTCTAGAAAGCATTGTTGTAAATTTTTACTTAGATTGCCTGAGGTGTAGGGTCTTTTTAGTTTTGATGAAAAGCTCCAAGTTTTGAGCTATAATATTTAAAATGTAGTTTATTGACAAGTTATAATTTCATAAATAACCAAATGTAATACCATTTATTATATTCTTAAAGGACTAGTGTGCAATTTGGTTCCGTTTTTGTTAAAAAATGATAATTATGTCCATATGTTTTGAGATAAAATGTGCAAGACTGATTTCTTTTCAAACAAGGTGAGTTTGTTTCTAAATATTGTGTTGATTAGTTCATATGGCAGTTATTATCCATGAAAGCAGTACTTGGCTGAGTATGAATGTTAATGATAAGATTTATCCCTCAACAGACTAATTAATGTTTTAGAAAACTGTTTACATATACCTGTGGTACATCAGACTGGGGCTAGCGAGTATTTATTACTACTTTCCTTAATCCTGTATTTATTTCATTTTGACCTAATTTTTATTTCAGGCAGAAGACTGGTTTAAAAGAACTCGAGTTCTTGAAAAAACTTAATGATGCTGATCCCGATGACAAATTTCATTGTCTGCGTCTCTTCAGACACTTTTATCATAAACAGCATCTCTGTCTTGTGTTCGAGCCTCTCAGGTAAAACAACATAACCTCTACAGTAAACTGAAAATGTAGTTGAATTTTTGGTTAAGAGCTAGCTTCTTGAAAGTTGTGACAATGCAAACATTAATAGAGTGTATACTATGTATCAGCCACTGATCTATTAGCGTATAGGGCAACAGATTTCTTTCTTTCTTCTTTTGGGGGGGAGAGGTTTTTGCTATAGGGTGCCCGAGCTCACCAGAAAGACTGAGGGAGACCGAAAGCGAGAATTCACGCCCCCAGGGGGCATGGCCACGCTGCAATCCCTTCTCCACCATTCTCCTCTCGGGATCTTGGGGCACACACGCACACACACCTGGTGTGAGTTTAAGCCACCGGGTCCAAGACTCGAACCACAGTCAACTACATTGGAGTCCAGGGACATAGCCATTACACCATCTGCTGGTCCCAAGGTCAACAGATTTCTCTGTTGGATTAAGCCAAAATGAAAATAAACGAGAGCAGTGGGGTAGAAATACTATTTTGAACTTCGCCAGAAGGACTTCATTGTGCTTTCAAACGTAAACCCAACCTAAAATCAAAGTGTCGAATTAGTATATGCCTAAACCCCAAGACGTTATTACCGTGCTTATCTTTCTGCTTATTTTGAGAATGGAGTTTTATTTAGAAATTGTATTTATGTAGATAGTTTTATATACTTTGATTTCACTGTAAATAATGTAGACTCAAACATTGGGGGAGGATTCTTTTTTCTTTTTTTTTTTTTTTTTTTGGAGAGGTTTTTGCTATAGGGTGCGTGCGCTCGCCAGAAAGACAGACAGATAGAAAGCGAGAAATCGGGGGATTTGCCACGCCGCAATCCCTTCTTTGTCCTCTCAGGATCTTGGGCATGCACGCACATGCGCCCAGCGTGAGTTTAAGCCACTGGATCCGGGACTCGAACCGCAGTCAGCTACTTGGGAGTCCAGCAACATAGCCATTATGCTAACTGCTGGTCCCGGGAGAGGATTCTTGAACAGAATATTTTCATTGTAAAACATTTTACACTTTTTTTTTACTTTCTGTGTTAAAAGGTCTTTGCCTATTATATTTTCATTTTATATTTTAATTCCTAATTTTGTTTCTGTTTTTCTCTCCTAAAAGTATGAATTTACGAGAGGTGTTAAAAAAATACGGTAAAGATGTTGGTCTTCATATTAAAGCTGTACGATCCTACAGTCAGCAATTGTTCTTGGCATTGAAACTCCTTAAAAGATGCAATATCCTACATGCAGATATCAAGCCAGACAATATCTTGGTAAGTCAAATAACCAAACTACCTATACATCCATTCCTTTTCTTCCTAGTGATGGGCTTTTTACTATATTGTTCCAGAAATGACATCGTCAAAGCTTAATTCAGTTTATTAACCCATTATGAATGACTATCAGTTTTTACTTTTTTTGGAAATTAGACCCTGAATTAGTTTTTATTACTAGAGGGCTCATGCACTTACCAGAGAGTGTGTGCACCCCACAGTGAAATGTGGTTCCACCATAGTCTTTTCCCCGACCCCTTCTTCTCTTCAGAATTTTAAATATGTAAACACATAACACCCAGTGTTTTTTCAAGCCACTAAGGTCAGGATTCAAACTGAACCACAGTAGGCCATGTAGAGTCAAGCTCTCTTCACCATTGAGTTGTGGGACTAGCTCTAGACCAGGACATTTTATAGAAAAGTAATAAGAAAGAGGAAATGGACCATTGTTTCTTTTATCTTTTTTTTTTAATCGATGAATTCAAAATATGCAGACCCCAAGAGTGCTTTAAATTAGTAGTAATGGGTTTTCCTCTGGTATCAAAGATAAAAATGGGGGGGGGGGGCAGCAGATAGCATAGTAGTTATGTTGCTGGACTCCCACATGGCTCACCACAGTTCAAGTACTGGACCCAGTGGCTTGAAAATCACACCCAGTGAGTGTGCATGCTTGCCCAGAATCTAGAAAGAGAATGGAGAAGGAATGTGGCATAGCCATCCCCTCCTAGTGGGGTGATTTTTCATTTTCTCTCTCACTGTCTCTGTCTCTCTCCAGCAAGTGCACACACTAAAGCATAAGCCTCTAAAAAATGCTAATAGTAAAAAAATTAAGAAAAAATGCAGGGGCCAAGAGATGGCGTTGTGGGTTCAGGTGCTGGATCCCACGTTGCTGGCACCATAGTTTCAGTCCCAGACCTGGCGCCGTGAGAAATACGGGTGTATGTGCATATGTGCCCAAAATCCTGGAAGGAGAAGGGATTACAGCATGGTTCTCCCACCTGGGGGGTTTTCTCGCATAACGGAGCTCACTCTCGCTCGCTCGCTCTCTCTCTCTCTCTCTCTCTCTCTCTCTCTCTCTCTCTGGTGAGTGTACACGCCCTGTAGCAAAAATAAATAAATAAATCAAAATGCACATGTTGCTGCTTTGGAGTTCATACTGCTTTGTTCTTTAATTTTATAGATGGATCAAGTTCACTTTTAGGGGAATTACTTTCCTAAGCAGATGGAAAGAGTTGAGTTTAAGGTGCCAGGAGTAGTTCTTTTTTTCCCCTTTATTGCTTTAGAAACCATGGCTCCTGAGGTCCCATATGTAGTAAAGGTTCATTGTAGTGAAAGTATTCCTTTTGAAGTCTTGGGTCTCTTACTATGACTTTTGGTTTAGTCACACTCGGGTTTAATAACATGCATGTTCTTGAAATTTGGACAGCCATCATAGTACATTCATCTTTTCCCTCCCTGGCCCCAGTTCTTCCCCTTGTTTTGTGGTGTTCACAGCTGGGAGCATTCACAATTTAGAGAATTCCTAGTTCTTGCCAGTAACATGTTCAATGCCAGTAACATATTTTAAAAATGGATGCCTTATGTCAACTCTCCTAAAAGTTAATGCTCTTTCCTAGTAGCGAGCATTAGGAAAAGCCAAGCATCTAAGGTATCCTTCACTGGGAACTGTGAGCTGTGATGGCATAAATTTTAAAAGGATTATGATCTCACTAAAAGACGTGTTATCAGCAACTAAACTCTCTAGTTCAGATGTCTCTTCTTTTTTGTTTCAAAATAATCCCTTTTAAGTCTACCACAGTAATAGTGAATTCCATTTTTATGTAGCTAGTTTGAGTTTCTCTTGTATAGTTAACACAGCTTGAGGGTTAGGGGACCTGAGTAATGATAGTCATATGGTAGATGGGTTACAAATGAGTTGTAAACAACTCATCAGTGGTCTCTATCTTACTTCTCTTCTTTGTGTAATTGTGAAGTATATGCCAAAGAATGTATATAAAAAAAGGTGTAGGGACCCATAGGTGGCACGTGGTGATTAAAGCATTGGACTCCCACATGGCCGACCACAGTTTGAGCCTTGGACCTTGAAAATCGTGTCAGCCATATGTGTATACGTGGCCAAAATCCCGAGAGGAGACTGGAGAAGGGGTTGCAGTGTGGCCATCCCCCTTGGGGGGATGATTTCTCACTTTCCCTTTCAAATATATGTATATATGTAAAGTACATGTCAAGGTATGTATATAAACTTGTACAGTTTAAAAGGTGGTTATACAGTGAACATCTATGTAACCACCTTGGTTAAAGAAGAGGATTTTGCCTGTATCTTAGAAGCTCTTGTTTTCAAAACTGTATTTTTTCTTGAATTAATGCTAAACTAGTATAGGTTTTTGCAGATTTCGGAAACTGAATGTTTTTCCTTCTTCCCAAGGAAGAAAAAAATAAGCTTCAGAGAATTCGTAGAAGTGATGTTCATGAAAATCCCAAACTTTTAGCCCATGATCTCAGCCATCATTGTGGCAGAAGTACCAGTTCTTCAGAGGGAGTAGAGTAGAATTCGCGTAGCAAACTGAAGTGTTTATGAGTATGAATACCCTGCTGCTGTGTAAGGCATTTTAGCTAGCCCAAGGGTTCAGTGATAGATTTCTGATTTTAAAATGGTCCTGGTGTTTTCACTGGAGAGAGGAACTGCGTCCTTCAGAAGCTGAATTCAGCTTATTTAAAAAAAAAAAAAAAAAAAACTAGGAAAGAGCTTTTCCATTTTAACATACCTATTCTCTTGATTCTGAAAATGAAGAGAATGGTAATTGATGTGGCAGTTAAAACTAATCTTTTTTATGGTTAGCTTACTTTGGATAGCATTTATAGTAGTCCAGTCTGGAACCTTGTCCAAGCTGTACAATATCCTGTAAGAGTGCTTAGGTCTATTGAAAGTCTTGTTTCTTTTGGGTGGGAACAGTAGACCAGGTTCAAGTCCCAACTCAGAATCTGTGTGTGTCTCTTTTGAAGGGGGGAAGGGACTCTGGAATGTGAATTACTACCTTCACTTGTTAATCCCGAACATGCTTCTTCTACTCATGAGTGGCAGCAGCCATGGGAGCAGCTCCAGCCTTTCTCAGCAGATGTCACTGTCACTGTGTATGTTGAAGTATTTACCAAGGAAAAAAGAAACAAATGACTAATATAGATTCTTGTGCATCAGTTTTGTCAGATATATTTAATATTCTTCTGACTAATACCGTCTTGAAGGGATTTAAATTTTTTTAGACTTGAAGTGATTGCTAAATTTGGGATGGTATATCTAGCAGCTTCAGTGAATGTTTTTTGTTTTCCTCTAGTTTAATCAGAATCATCTTGCTTTCATTGCTGCCATAATTTTCTGGCAACTGAAAGTTATTAACTAACTCCTCATTAATGAATAACTTCATGCTCCCTTACTTCGATATTCAGGGGAGTTTTTAGAAGATGCTTTGCTTCATCAGCTGAGACTTTCCTCTCACTACCCACATTTTTTAAAATGCTGTGTGTTAAAATTAAGTTGACAATATTATCGTACATTTCCTCACTGAAAAAGCTTAATTATAATCAAATATTTCATAGCTCTTAATTTTTTGTATTTGGGAAATTAAGCCATAAAATAAGCAGAAAAGAAAGTTTTCAATTAGTGATTTTGTTCTTGATTTGGGTTGTAGCGTCTCAAAGCCAGTTATATTTGTGTGTTTGTCTTAATTATTCCTGGCTTGAATTAAGTATCTTTGAAACAATGTTTTGCAGGTTAATGAATCAAAAACTATTTTAAAGCTTTGCGATTTTGGTTCGGCTTCCCATGTTGCGGATAATGACATAACACCTTATCTTGTCAGTAGATTTTATCGTGCTCCTGAAATCAGTAAGTTTCTTAAAATGTTCTTTGACCTGAGCCATCAAATGCAGTGGAAGCAGCATATATGCTGTCTCCGCACTGTTTTTCTGTCCCACTTTATTAGCTGCGTGAGTTCATTCGTGAGGAAGGGAACCATAGCAAGTTCATCCTCCTTGGGGTGGAATGAAGGAGGTTGTGGCAGGGGTCTTGATCATGTCGGGCAAGAGCAGCAAAACAGTTGTGGAAAATCCTCAACTTTAGAAGACTGCTCTTGATTAATCAGAGTCTGATTATCGCATTTCTGGATCATATGGGACCTTCGTTTCTTCCTTCTTATTATCTTGGTTGAGGCTGATTAGCACCTCTACTAAAAGTAAAGTAAAAAAGGTAGAATACATATTTTCTCCTGTCCCTTTAATTTCTGTCTCACACCCCTAGATTTTAGGTTTTTTAAGAGTCTCTTTTAAGAAGTAATGGGAGGGACCAGCATATGGCATGTCACTGGACTTCCACATGGCCGACCATGGTTCCAGTCTTGGACCTGGAGGTTTCAAACACTGGGTGCGTGTGTGTTCATACCTAAGATCCCAAGAGGAGAATGGTTTGTGATGTGATCGTCCCCCTTGGGTGTCATTAGAGAAACACGCACCCTATAGCAAAAATCTCTAAGAAAAAAGAAGAGAACTAGTGGGAAACAACATGAAACTGATGGCCACACTGAAGTGTGAAGATCGGTTATAATCCAAGCTAAATTAATCCCATTAATGGAAATAAATGTCAATAGTAGGTCATTTTTATCTTGATACATGAACATTTCCATTCTGTTTTCAGTTATAGGTAAAAGCTATGATTACGGTATAGATATGTGGTCTGTAGGTTGTACTTTATATGAACTCTACACTGGAAAAATTTTGTTTCCTGGTAAAACCAACAACCATATGTTGAAGCTCGCTATGGATCTCAAAGGAAAGATGCCAAATAAGGTAGGACTTTATCGTGAGCTCACTCGTTCGGGGTCTTCGTTTCCTGCAGACTGACGGATTGCTGGCACTCACTGCTTGTAGCTATAAAAGACAGGTTTCTGGGCCAGGGAGGTGGTGCAGCAGTAATGTGCTCCTCAGCAGTGCTGAGCCCCACTGCAGACTGCGGATTTGGTTCCTTGGGTAACTACGATGCCCGGCATTATGCACCCATGGTTCTAACTGCCTGGGAAGGCTGAGCGTGAGCATGCCATGAGACCCTGTCAAGAGTGCCATCTTCGTCTCTGTGTCTCATTCTTATGGAAGAAATAACTTTCAAAGGGGGTTTCATTTTGTTTTACAGAGAGGTGAGTAGATGGCTACCCATGATTCCTTACCTTCTTTCCTGTTTCTGGTGTTTGGAATAAGAGAGGATTTTTTTGTTTTGTTTTTTCAGTGATAGAGAAGTGATAATGTCTTGAGGAGTATAACCTTGTTAGTAAGAGGTAGAATACATATTTGAGAGAATTCAAATGTGTTTGAGAGATGCTATGAAAGAAGATGCAGCTCAGGTTTGTTAAAATGTTAAAAAGTACGTGGGACCAGCAGATGGCGTAATGGTTATGTCGCTGGATTTCCATGTAGGCGACTGTGGTTTGAGTCTCGGATCCAGAGGTTTAAACCTCATGCCGGGTGCAAGATCCTGAAAGGAGAATGCAGGAGAAGGACTTGCGGCATAACCATCTCCCCGGGGGGTGATTTCTCACTTTCTGTCTCTCTGGTGAGCACATGCGCCCTTTAGCAAAAATCTCTCTCCAAAAAAAAAAGTGCGTAGTGGTCCTGGAATGAGTAAGTGAATATTATAAGAGGAACTTGATGGCAATCAGTTTAAAAAAAGATTGGAGGTGGGAACCAGCAGTTAGCGTAATGGCTATGTTGCTGGACTCCCACGTAGTCGACCGCGGTTCGTGTCCCAGACCCGGTGGCTTAAAACTCACGCCGGGCGCGTGTGCGTGCGTGCCCAAGATCCCAAGAGGAGAATGGAGGAGAAGGGATTGCGGCGTGACCATCCTCCCCTGGGGGTGATTTCTCGCTTTCTGTCTCTATGTCTCTCTCTGTCTGTCTGGCGAGCACACGCGCCCTACAGTGAAAATCTCTCCAAAAAAAAAGAGAAAGATTGGAGGTTATTTGGGAAAGGAACATACCAAGAAAATTGTCTTTATGTGACATTTTTCTAACATAAAACTCATCCTTGCTGCTTAAGCAGTATTACTAGTTTGGTTAATATAAAGGAAGAGCTTTAGGCATTTATTAATATGTCTGAGACCCATATCTTAGTGTTTTTGTTTTTATTTGTTACTATTAATTATCTTTATAATTTGATCAGAGAGAAAAAGTGAGAAAGCAAGCTGCCAGGTCTGGGACTCAAACCATGGTCAGCCGGGTAGGAGTCCAGAGCCTTAACCACCATGGCACCTGCTGGCCCCTGTCTTAACATAAGATGTCACCTTATTTTATGAATTTCTGAAAGGTTTACTTATATAGGTCCAATTTTTCTTACATAGATCAGAAGTCATTATGGTTGTAGATATTGTTCATAATCCATTGTATCAGACTCTCTTGAATGATGTTAGAATTAGCTGTGTTGCTACTTGTTTTAATAAAATCTGACTTTATCATGTTAGGGCTGTTGAAACATAATTTATAAGATGTCATTAGGTTCTTAAGTGAAGAGTAAAGTTAATTGAACCACACAGCAGTTGGTTCCAGGGAATCCATCCCATCCACTGGCCCTATATTAGGTCTTTGTTTAATCCCCAATTTTGAATAGTGAAGGCATAACTTGATATAATTGATTAGTTCAAGTCACTGCTTAGGAAAATATCATTTCATGTTACTAGTTTTAGGCATAGCATTTCTATTAGTTTTCCCAAAAATGTTAATAAACTTGACAGGAAGTGAATCTAAGATCAAAGAAACCCAAAGAGACTGAATAATTTGTGTGATAAAAGTATTAAATTACTAGCAGGCTAGACTATTTTATAATAGTTAAGAATTGAAGATTTTTCTATTTTGCTTTGTAGATGATTCGGAAAGGTGTATTTAAAGACCAACATTTTGATCAAAATCTCAACTTCATGTACATAGAAGTTGATAAAGTAACAGAGAGGGTAAGTTTTAAGTGTGCTCATTAAATAACCTTTTTGTTGATGAATTCAGTTGGTACAGGATGATGGTGGCAGCTATATTTGTTTAAAAAACACTAAAAGTGAGATTCCTTTATACCGTTGGCTATTTCCTGAATAAACTGCCGCACGTAGTAGAAAAATGAAGAGATTGTGAAATGTTCCTCTAGTATAACGAGTTTGGTTTCTTTATGGATCATCTTTAGGCCCCTGGTACTGATCCTTTAGAGCGTGTTCTTAGCCTTGTTTCCATCCATCTTCCATTCTGCTGATAGAGGGCGCTTCCTGAAAAGAAGTCAATCATGTTGCTCTCCTTGGTTAAGAGACTTCTTTGGCATCCAGCTCCCGTGTACTCTGAAATCCCCAGCACTCCACTCTTGGCGGAGGACTTGCTGACGGATCTCTGTGCCTTCGCTCACAGACCTCTCCGAGCTTGTTAGTCTCCTGTACTACTCCATCCCCTAGAAAAAAACATATTCAGCCTAATTCTCAGATGAAGTACACGCTCTGTGAACCTTTCTGGAATCTCAGGTTGAAGTAATGGTTTCCTCATTTTTATGCTTTATGTATCCCTGACTTTGTCAGAGCACTTCCTGGCTCCTGGACATGCCTGACTCTTGCCACTCGAGGGTAGTCATAGGGAAAGTACAGTTCACACAGCAAATGCTTACTGAGAGTTCTCATTGCTAACTTAGGGTTCACCATTTTTATTTTTTCGGTTGCTTCTTTGAGGTGTGTGAGGGATAGAGAAAGCCACATGAATTTTTTTAATGAATAGATGATACATACACTATATGTGTATATTCTGACTTTTTTGGTGAACTGGAAGCGCCTGTCTGTGTATAAGTTATTTATGTTTAGTTAACTTATTTAGAGATAAGCATTTTTGAAACTATTTTTAGGAGAAAGTTACTGTCATGAGCACCATTAATCCAACTAAGGACCTATTGGCTGATTTGATTGGGTGCCAGCGACTTCCTGAAGACCAGCGTAAAAAAGTACACCAGCTAAAGGACTTGTTGGACCAGATCCTAATGTTGGACCCAGCTAAACGGATTAGCATCAACCAGGCCCTGCAGCATGCCTTCATTCAGGAGAAAATTTAAAAAGAGATGAAGAAACTCCAAGGGTTTGAGTAATTAAATACAAAGACTGAAGAAATTTCACAGCAGTTTATTAATGTATATAAACTTATAAATATTTCTACAGAAAATTTGAGGAAGCATGATAATATTTGCATTAACACCAAGGGTGATATTTCTTTTAGAAATGTTAGTTAATCTGTTTTGTGTCTTATGTGAAATTTCACTGTAGAACTGTTTTAATTGCCAAGACTGCACAAAATTACAGTGCTAATGTATATGGTTACAGTTCACATAAAAGACAAAAAAGCATCTGTTATGAGTAGTAATACTGGGTGGTTGATTTGTTTTTAGCAGACTTGGCTTCATTTTGGTCTTCAGATAAAATGGCCAGCATAAATGCTGTTTATATTCACGTTTTCCTAGGTGTGTGTGTGCAGGCCACAGCAGCATGCCCTTGGTGTAGTCAGTGCCGAAAGGGGTCTGTTCCTTCTTGAGCCTGCCTGCAGGGATGGTCTCCTCTTTTAAAGCAGGTTGTGTACAACATTCAGTACACTGAAGGTAAGCTAAACCATCAACCTCACTGGTGTTTTCAGATGTTACTTTATTGGAACAATTGACAAATGAGGGATATTAGCTTTGTGGCAGAATTCCCTGCATGTGTGATAACCGATCTTGTTTTCTTTTTTGGCATTGCTACTGTGGCATAGTTACAACTTTTGTTCTGTTCATCACATTTACAATTTAAGGAGTACGCGCTTGATGGATAGAGCGCCTTCAGTGTACTGTTTCTTATTAACTTTAATTTTTTTAAGATCAACTTGCTATATAGACTTTATATACATTTTGTTAAATACAGTTCTTAGTGACATAGAGACAATGCGTAGTTTTCATTTACTAATTACAAATGTCGAGGCCGAATTCTGAAAGTCCTCATATTTAAAGGATAGATAGACAACATAATGAAATTTTTAACTATTTGTATGTCATTTTGAAAGTGTGCTGCTTTATGGTAAAAGTGTTTTTCATTTGTTCATTGTTTTCATTATTTGTGATCATGTTGTCTTTCAATACAGGCATAAACCTTCCACTCTTGAACAAAGCAGCTGCTTTTTAAAAGCGGTAATTGCTTCTTTACCTTTTATTTCTTTTGTAAATGAAGCTTTTCTTTAAGAATGTGACTTTAAAGTGTTGTCTATTGCATAAAACAGTTGACACTCACTTATTGTAAAGTGAAGATTGTTCTACTGCATGTGAAGTGGACCATGCAGATTTCTGTATGTTCTCAGTATGCATCACTAGATAATAAAGTCTTTTGTGAACAAGGCATTTGTAGCCATTTTTAAAAGTTTTTGTCTTCAGTGCTGGTAAGTCAGGTAAATCATAAATAGTTAAAAAGCAATCTTTCATTTTTTTTCTGAAAACCTCTAATTGAAAATAGTGTCAGTTAAGAATGTAAATCTAGCCAAAGCTGATAAGCTTATTAATAATTAGGATCCTAATTATTTCATTTTAAGAAATTCTTTAAGTATTGTCAGCTTTCAGTGTAGTGAGATTATTCCTGTAGGTTATGGGGTATAATTCAGGATTTAACTAATGTTTCTGCTATTTTCTCACTTTTCCTTTTGATGGTGCGGAAAGAGAAAAAGGAAAACGGGGCACAGGCCATTCAACGCCTTCTGCAAGGGGTCTGATTTGCTGAGACACCAGCTTCACCTTCTTAACAAGGTTATTTCTGACAGCATGTGTAGATATAAACATTTAGCAACAATTTTAAACAAAATCATGTAAATCAGCTTGGTTTTTGCAACACAGAGGAGTTTGTATTTTTAACATGATCGGAGAGGATTTTCAGAAGTGTATGTAATCTTTCTGTTTGGGGGGTAAAATTAATGCTTGTCTCCCTGAAGAATATGGAAAATAATCAGCTCTTAGGGACTTACATAACATTTTTAAATTGTAAATGGGATTTTTTTATTCACCCAGGCACCTAATTACAACAAGCATGCACGTTTTGGTGCATTCAAGAATGGAAAATCAGAATAGCAGCATTCTTCTGGTGGGTTTTGCTCCATTTAAAGACATGACATGAACTGCAGCCAGGAAGGTGATAGATGATATAATAAGCCAACTCTGAACCTACACCCCGTCTCTGCATGGTTTAGACTTACTAAAATAATTCCAAGGCGATTTCATTTCCATCTTCAGGTAGAGTGAAGCCTTCTAAAGAAGGCATCACAAGTGCAGCTTTTCCACCTTAATGAAACGGGTAGTGATTTTTCCCACCATTATTTATTATTTTGGTGATAATATGCTGCATATTCGAGTCTTTGATAGTTATTTTCACTTAAAACATTTGATGCTTCTGGTGATTTTCATGGCTTCATATTATATGATTATTTAAGTAAGTTAACTTCCACTAGAAACAGTTCATCTTATGCCTTCAAGACTATTTCCTTTTCTTTAAAAAACAAAGTTGCTTGTTACTTGTTCTTTGTGTTTTAGGTGCAGCTCAGTGGAAGATGATGACAACCAGAAGACATGAGCTAAGGTTTCTGTCTATAAAAGATTTAAAAAAAAAAAAAAAAAAGAATTCTCCATTTAGTTTTGTCTAATTTTTTAGTTTTCAGCATTATGATTTGGGTTTCATTAGTGTTTGGTATTTAAGGTAGTGGTGCTATTGTGGTGTTCATCCGTGAAGTGTTTGTTTTATCATACTTCCTGCCTTCCCTTCCCTTCCCTCCCGAATAAAAACAGTGGTCAGATTTAGTGATATAAACAGCTCTTAGCTGCTAAGATCCCACATAACACATGGTCATAAAAATCAGATCCTAAGGATTTAATAGAAAAATCGGCCACCACCAAAATAGCATACATCTAAAAGTAGTCTTCGGCTTTTAGGCAGATGCAGAAGAATAGAAATGGAATTTCAGGAACACCGTTTTAACTCCTTGAATATCTATTCTCTAACTTATCCTTTAGTAACCTTGTTTTTAACAAGGGTTCTAATCATGATCTTAAAATAGACAAAATATTCAGAGCCATTGTCAAGACTTTTTCTCAAGTGAGAAAGGTGATACAGTGTGGATTTTTTTCTGTGTTCCCAAATTTAGCATTCCTAGGTTTATCTGTTTGAAAGGAGCCCTGTAAACTGTCTTATACATGTCTTACATACATATACATGATTTTATTAGAATTGGTAATTTTGCTGAGGCATATATACTGGAGCTTTGCAAGACCTCTGGTTAGATTGAGGTCACTTAGTGAATGGTCCTTTCTAGCAAACTGCATTCATGTTTCCGAATAGCTATATAGTTTTCAAATGCAGTTACCTGTCAGGAAGTTCTTGCTTTATTACTTTATGATAAAATGATACCAAGTGATTATCAGACTTGAGAGTTCATAAAAGTCTTAGGCATAGTTCTCAAATATGTCACAGTTCTTCTCTCTAAGGTTTGGAGAAATCATTGAGATCAAGAAAGTGAATATTTTTAGGTAGTTGTCTCCGGGAATACTTTATTTTTGAAGGTCATCAGCAATGAGATGATAATTTTGAGTAGAGGGAGCATCTTATAATTATGAATCTCTTAGGGTTTGTGTCCACCCTAAATCCTTAGTAATAAATATATCCTGTTTCTTCATTCCCTAATGGCTATGTCATTTCACTCTTTAAATAATTTCAGGTTTTATTATTTGTCATTTTGCCAATATAATTACTAGTTTTGATCTAACAAAAATACTAGCTACAATTTTATAAAGCGAAGTGCTTGAATAATGTCTTATGGGAAGTGGTAGAGGTAGTACAGTGTAAGGTCCTCCGTTTGGTTCTGTATTTGCATTCCTACCATGCTTTACCTGTGCATTACCATTTGTAAGCAGAACTCAGGCTGCGTAGGTAAATAAAATCTCTGGAAAATCACACATACTAAAATATAGGCCAGACAGCTAAAGAATGCCCTTGAAAAATGTCACAGATAGGAAAGAAGCCATATATTCAATCATGTGATATCCTTCCTCTAGTTAGGACGACATCACTAGCAGTCGGGCTTTATAAATGTTGCCTTCCTAGGAGTATCTTAGTTCCAGCATATGTACAGTATGAATTTTACCCTTCTCCTCCGAGATGGAATCATTACCCTTCTTATAGACATGTTCATGACAAATTCATTTTTTTACATGTCAGTAATGTACACTTAAAATGTTTTCCAGTAATTTTGATAGATACCATTATGGCATCCTTAATTTTTCTTCTCCTTCTGTATATAGGGTAAGGGACTGTTCTTCTGAGGAACCTTTCCATTTAGTGATCAAGATATGGAAGCTGATGTCTGAAAATGCTCACTGTGTATCCTAACTGTTCATGGTATCATTTGAATTGTATCTTGAATTTAGCAGCACATGTTCCCAGTCACCCTACTGGGAAACTTAATAAAATATGCCTCTTGTTATTATATAGTCTCCTGGTTTTTCCTTTGCTCGAGTTTGGTGTTTTACATTTGGTTCTGAGTTGTAAACACCACTCATACCTGGTGTTTCTTAAATGCCTCTTAACTAATGATCATAGATGTGTTTTGAAGAATATTTTCTGCTGAAGTATGATTGGCAACTGCTGTGTTAAATAAAGTTGCATAGGTGGTGTCTTAGAAAGCTATTCTCAGAAGACTGATGTCCATTGTAACTCCATTAGAAAAGATATGGAGGGAAGTTTCCCCATCCGCTCAGCAGAATCTGCCTTTCATAGAACCTGTGGCTTGGAAACAGCCTATTTATGTGAGTTACCTCAAAAACATCCACTTTTTTCTTTTTGTTTTTAACAGGTCTTCACAATAGGGCACTTGCACTTATTGGAGAGAGACAGAGAGCAAGGGAAAGTGAGAAATCACTCCCAGGGAGGCATAGGCACACCACACTCCCTTCTCCCTCCATTCTCTCAGGATCCTGGGCGGGCATGCATGAACACTCACCGGGCATGATTATCTTTGTTGTTTTTTTTTTTTTCAAGAGGTTTTTACTCTAGGGTGCATGCACTTGCTGGAGAGAGAACAATAGAGAGAAAGCGAGAAATCATTCCCTGGGGGATGGCCATGCTACAATACTATCTCTTCCACTCTCCTCTTGGGGTTTTGGGCATGCATGTGCCTGTACCTGACATGAGTTTTAAGCCACCAGGTCCAGAACTTGAATCGTGGTCAACTGTGAGGGAGTCCAGCAACATAACTATTACGCCATCTGCTGGTCTCAGTGATTTTCAAACTGCCTAGTCCAGGACTCGAGCCATGGTTGGTCATGTGGGGTTTCAGCACCTTAACCACTGTATCACCTACTGACTTCAATATTCAAACATTTTAAAAACATGAACTGCAGAGCACCAGGGTGTGTTATATTCATGTTCCTGTTACTAGTAATAGAGACATAATGGGTTGTTGGAAAAGTCGTGACACTTTATTATAGAGAGAAAATATATCATGAAATTTCGTACATAGAATATATCATGACTCTTCTGACAACCCAATGCTTAAGTAATAACCAAACTTCCTTTTTCATAACACTGTAAGTAAATTGGCTCATAGCCTATATGGGAGACTGACACACTAAACTCTTAACCCCCAAGTCCACACTTCTCTTCTAAGGAAATCATGAAGTCATTGAATCGGTACTTTTGAGGCAAAGTAGTGTGCTACATCTTCAGTTCCGACAAAATTGCCACTTGTAGTTGTGTTCTGAGGAATCAGGTAAACACACCAGAAAAATCCAAGCAATTGTATTTTTACTGAGTAATCACGATATGTTCAAAGTTGCCCTGTAATTGAAATCAGCAGTGTTGCCAATACATTTTAGGTATTTCATGCAAATTCGGGGCTGTTCCTGGAAACTGTTCGGTCATCGGGAAGGTCCCGATGTCTTTTTCTGTTCTATGTGAAATGCATCGTGACTTTCCTGACGACCCAGTATCTCCTTTAGATCTAGTGGCATCTCAAAATAGCCTGGTTATTTTTTCAGTAAGAAATTTTTCCTTACAGACTTCTGTTTCCATCCATTTACCACATAATTTTTTTAAACAAATTTTAATTTTATAATTATTTTAATTTGAACAGAGAGGGGGAAAGAGAAAAACAAGCTGCCAGGTCTGGGACTCAAACTGTGGTCGGCCACGTGGGAGTCCAGTGCCTTAACCACACCACCTGCCAGCCCCTTTACTACATCGTGACTTTTCCAAAAACCCAATAGTTAAGTTATAACCACACTTCCTTTTTTGTAATATATTTCTATATGATGAGCTATCAGAAATTCATATGTCCCGCTTTTTTGTTTTTTTTTTAATTTTACCTTAACTATAAGACATCAAATCCCAGAACCAATTTTTTCTCCTATATTCAGAAGGACCGAAGCAATCCTGTGTGTTGGTACCCTGATAGACTGATTGACCTTTGATTATTTCCAACACGTTCTTCCCTGCTTCCTGTTTCTCATCTCTGCCTGCTCCCACCGTGTCTTCATTGAGAGTCAGTGTCTTACCCCATTCCCAGCCCGTAGTGTCTTGTGAGAAGCAGGGCATTGATTTTTCTGAAATTGTTATTCTACTGACAGTGACAAGACAGTTTATTCTTGAATGCCCTATGTCATTCTTTTTTTTTTTTTTTTTAACATTTGCTATACACCAGGCACTTCTAGTCAATAATCATCACATGATTATATGAGATAAAAGGGTATTCCACCCACTTTATAAACCAGGAAAATGAAGCACAGAGAAATGTAAGGAAACTGCCTGAGGTGTTAACATTTCGGTAATTTGGGTAGGAATTTGGATACTCATCTGTGGAACCAGTGCGTGGAACCACAGTGTCATGCGTAAAAATCATCAATGAAAAGATTTAATTCACCAAGTATTTCAAAGTACTATCTGCCAGAGTACCTATCTGCTAGGATACAGTACTTAATAAAACAGCCGTGAGTGACCCTTCTGAAAGTTTTACAAATAAGAATGACATCATGATGACCTTAGAGGTGAGGGGGTAGGATCCAGGTAGGTGAAGGTAGAAATGAGAATGGCTACAAGGAGCTGGTCAAAAGGAAGTTCAGGTTACAGAAAACTGCAAGAAAGAGAGTACAGGTGGTTGGTGGGAAACAGGCCCCGGTAAAATTACACTAGTGGAGCCTTACTGCTTTAGTTTGTTTTCTGTTGCATTGTAGGAACCTTACCAGGTTCCAGACAGTTTGAAATACATTCACCTAAAAACAACATGCTCTAACTTTTGTCTCTGAGAAGACGATTCAAGCCTTGGTGTTTTGGTAAGGATAGAAGAGAGGAAACGGACTATGGTTGCTCTCTCCAACATTTGAATTACCCTTCCCCTGACCCATCCCTAACTCATATACTCCATCTCATAGGAGAGGATGATACAAAAAAAAATACTGGCTGCTGTTGTGTATGAGGTTGGGAGGTAGAGGTTCCTTTTCATTTGGTACCTCAGGTAATAAAGTTTTAACCGGGTGTATGTATGTATGTATGTATATAAGAAAAACTAATCTGATTCATCAAGATCTACTTAAAATCAAAGCAGAATATCCACACCTCTGATTTATGTATGTTACATCAAGTCTTCACATTTTTTGAAGTGTGATTCAAGAAGCACCTGCATGAAAATCTCTTGGAATGTTTTATGTATCTGTGGATCCCAGTAGACCTGTGCGAAGGACTCTTTTTTTTCCTAGAGAACACACTTGTTCACTAGAGAGAGAGAGGGAGAGGAGAAAACAAACAGCCATGGGCATGGTCAAGCTACAATCCCTTCTCCATCCCCCCTTTCAGGATTTTGGATATGCATACACACGACTGCGCATATTTCTCAAGTTGTTGCATTGGCACTCAGTTGTGTGGGCAACCATGTGGGTTCCAGCCACCTTCACCACCACTCCATAGGCTGGCCCATCCTTGATTTTTTTGTTTGTTTGTTTACTTGCCAAAGAGAGAACACCCCCAATGGGGCTTGGTCACACTGCAATATATTTTCTTGCATTTCTCCTTCCCATCTGGATTACCAGGATTTGGGGTGCATGCACACGTGCCTAGTGCTTTTCAAACCACCAGAACCCAGACTCACATCACTATGCTTACAAGGCCAGCTCCTCCCTGGATTCATGAGTGCAATCATATAGTTTCCCTCTCTCTGGGACCAGCAGGTGGTGTGGTAGTTAAGGTACTAGACACTCCTACATGACCAACCATGGTTCAAGTCCTGGATCTGGTGGCTTGCCTTCTCGCTTCTTTATCTCTCTGGTCAAATTAAAATGAATGAATAAATTAAATATTTTTTAAAAGTCCAATAAATGAGTTAAACTTTAGGTGTCAGAGTTTTAGCTAACCAAGGCTAAGACTTCCAGCAAATTAAAGCCTTGAAAGAAATTCCAGTAATGTGAGATTGTGGCTGTTCTGTAGACAGTGACTCAAGCAATTTTTCTTTCAACATTTTTCAAACTACTAGGTCTGAGTAAAACAGGGTCATTTCATACTTAATCCTACAGTTAGTCCAGAAAGCAAAGTCTTACTTTTGGGCATATCACAAGGGGTCTGGGAAATAGAAAGTTCTTAAGGGTTAGGGAGTCTATATATTATTAATTTAACAACAGCAACTTCTTGTAGCTTATAAAGGCCAAGCAAATGTCCAAAGAATAGGTCATAATGACAGATTTGTGGAGAAAGAGGAAAAAAACGTACCAAAGTGGGAAAGATTTTTTTTTAAAAAAATCACCGATAGAGGTAACTACAATTCTTATGACTATAATAGACCAAGAATACGGCAGTAATAAATCAGTTACACCATTTATTGATGGACTTCCACTGGAAAACAAGCACAACGCAAGAAACTTGGAAAAGCTTTCTAAGTGAAACATTTCTTTCAAGCAACAGGCAAAAGAATTGTCATATATGTCACAGAAGCCCTTCAACTTACTGATGGACGTCTCGGCGACACTTCAGACATTCCACCTTGTAGCACATCAAGCGATTACTCTGGGTATTTTTTGTTTCAGTGCCTGGATCTTGGAATGATGAACCATGTTTTAGCTGGGCTTCTTGGGATAAATTTGCTCACATTGAGAATGTGTGGAATAAAAGGTTATTTTGGGCCAGTGAGCACTTATCCTCTAGCTATTTTTGGTCAGTGAGCACTTATCCTTGGCTATAAATGAAGACGACAAACAGTTCAGTTTCTGAATATAGAATGGTCTATGTAATACTGTATTTTTTCGGTAAAGCTTCTTTTTGGGCCTTGGCTTAACTTCTTCCCTCTGAGTTTCGGGAAAACACAGAGGCACGGGGGAGACTGGTATCGGAGACCTTGGTGGCGGACATCTTGAGACCATTTTAACCAGTGATGGAGTTGTCTGGGCAACAGGAGACTTGGATGAGAGTTCTTGGCATGGATTTAAAATGGGGCCTTTGGCATTCTTCAAGTCATCGTAAGTTGCGATGAATTGTTTTGTGGTGGGTGAACTTTTTAGGGATGGCGGTCTAGAATTCCACTTGGACTTCTCAGCATTGCTCCAATTCCATTTGGAAGCATTTTGTTCAAGCTTGCAAGAACCAGGACTGTTTTTTCTTTTGTCTCGACTCTTATCTATACAAGATGTCTGGAGGCTGGAAGAGTCAGGGAATTTTGGTTGCTTCACTTTTGATATAGCTTTGGAGGAAGAGGGTCGTTCAGTAACAGCTGGAGTACAGAGAGTGGTTTGCGGTTTCGGCCTCTCTTTTTGTATAGTTGCGTGTTGTAATCTTTCCAGCTCCAGTAAACGAGTTACCAAGTGTTCTATAGTGCTTTCTGGAGGTTCCACTGTGGCTTTCCAGGCTTCAGATTTTGAGAGGGCTAATTTGTGCAAGTCCAGAGCACTGAAAGGAGGAGGGAGAAAATCAGGATAGGGGAATACTTCATTTGGTTCCTCAGTGAACGATTCTTCAACATTGTCTATTGTTTCCGGCTTTAAGTTCAAGTCCATCCTTTTAAAATAGCTGAGTAAAGTATCATTCGCTTTCTCGTTTTCTGATAAATCACTTTCATCTGTTGCATTTTCTTCCACACTGCTGTTTCCATATTTCAAATTCCAATTTGGAGCAGATAAAGTTTCACCATTGTTGTTTTCTACAATTGAGCATGAATTCATATGAAGCTCATTTCGGTCCTTAAAAAAGTCCCCATCAGCATAGGGCCAGCAGAGATCAAACGGCATCAGCAGTCCAGGGTAAGAACCAACTTGCTTATCAAAGGAGTGGCTCGGGGTGAAGAACCTTGTGGAATTATTGGTTACGTTAAAGCCAGTTTCCGTGGAAGATTTTTTAAATTCCCTTTAAAAAGCAATTCATGAATCATTTGTTGAGTAGAATTTAAAATGCCGCTAAAATGACAGGAATAAGTAACTTTTATCAAAGATCAACTAATGTTTAGCTCCCAATGGCATGTGTGTTCTCTAGCAATCCATAACAGAAATGTCAACTTCTAAATATATAGGCTATACATTTATATAATATAGATGGACTATGTACATTTCTTAAATCATAGATTAAAATACTAACTGGGCATCCCTTTGTGCAAGCACAGGTTAAAATGGCTAACACTACAAATTCCACGAGGTTCAAAGTGACTAATTATATGTATTTGCCTATATTGTAATTATGATGTCTGGAAATGAGGATACCCAACTCAAACTGAAATGACAGTGACACGTTCATTGACCCTGAGACTTTGAAAGAGTAGTTAACTTACCAAAGATTCTATGTTCACTGCTGTAGTTTTTAAAAATTTATTCTAACAAAACAGGAAGTGAACAGAGTCTATCAAACAAAAATTATGCCAGATATAGAACCTTGTTATTTTCATCTCCTGGTGCGCTTTCATTTTAAAAGTAATACTTCTGAGTATTCTATTAAAATAAAAACTGCAAAAAAAAAAAAAAGCCAGGGCATAGACTACTGAGTTTCTAGTTTGTTTCGTTTTGTTGTTGTTGTTGTTTTAATTTATTAGAGAGCATGTGTGCCCGGTGGAGACAGCAAGACAGAGAGGGACAGTGAGAAAGCATCCCTCCTGGGGCGTGGCCATGCTGCAGCTGCTTCTCCATTTCTAGCCCCTTCTGGGATTTTGGGCATGCCCACATCTGTACCTGGCGTGTTTCTCAAGCTTCCTGGTGCGGGACTTGAACTGCACAGTGGGCCATGTGGGATCCAGGAACCTTAATCCCTAGCCACCAGCTGACCCTTTTTTTTTCTAGGTGACTAGAAATACTGACATTGAGCGGTCTGATGCATTAGTTGACATATAGTCTTCTCAATGTCTCCTTCTTTTAAGGCTAGTTTACAATAACAGTAATCTAGAAGGATTTGGGAAAATACTTTTAACCCGAAAAAAATGACTTAACAATTTGGCTAAATACTAGGAATACCACCTTGCCTTTGTAAAGCCACAGGAAAATCGCTTCAAATCTACAACAGGCAGTAGACATGAGTCTACATATTAGGTTGTCAGAAAAGTCATGATGCGTTTTTGCACAGAAAAACAGAAAAATAGATCATGAGTTTCCCCACAACCCAATAGCATGAAAAAAGGAGCATGGAATCTGGGGGTGGCGGCCTGGGTTCGAAACCTTTGCCATCAGTGAGTGGCAAACATGGATGACAGTACGACCTCAGAGGTGGTCTGAGGGCAAGCCAGTACACAGCGCGTGTAAGTGTGTGTGACAGATTGTTAAACACCAAATGACAGTTCTCATGTCTTTTGTTCTCTTTACCTGTTTGATATATGGAGGAGAAAAATCTCTTTTTCTAAAATATTTTTGCCAGAGGGCATGTGCAATTGTAGGAAAAGGGATAGGAGGGAGAAAGCACCACCCAAAGGGGCGTGGTCACACACTGTCCCTTCTCCATTTCCCCATCCTGTTGGGATCGGGGCCTCCACACACACCAACCCAGCAAGTTTTATAAGCTGCCAAGGCCAGGATTTGAACCATGTGGTTAGCCATATGGGATCTGGCTCCTTTAACCACCAGGCCATGGGGCCAGCCTGAGGGGAAAAATCTTAGTGAAAGATTTCGTGGATTCCAACTTTCTTCCATCTTTGTGACATTACTAAGCCTATCCGATATGCAGAGCAAAGACCTATCCCACGCTGTTCTGCTTAGTCCTCGCGGCGGCCTCGTGAGATGGGCACTTTGATTTCCCACCTGTTACAGGTCAGGAAACGGAGGTATAAAGTGGGGGCAGTCACCCGTCTAGGAAGTGGTGGAGCTGGGATTGAACCTAGGTATGGAGTGCTATGTCTGAAATCCTATCAACTGTGTCCTACTGCCTCTATGTTTGCTTCTCTGTCACGATGATCGACTTCAGTTCACTTCACTTGACCCCTTACCCTGAAATCCTTGTTACTGTCTGAGTTCTTTCTCATAATAGCCTTTCCTTTATTTTTTTTTGGAGAGGTTTTTGCTATAGAGTGCGTGTGCTCGCCAGAAAGACAGAGAGGCAGAAAGCGAGAAATAACCCCCCAGGGAGGATGGCCATGCCGCAATCCCTTCTCCTCCATTCTCCTCTCGGGATCTTGGGCACGTACGCACACGTGCCCAGCGTGAGTTTTAAGCCACCAAGTCCAGGACACGAACCGCGGTCGACTACGTGGGAGTCCAGCGACATAGCCATTACGCTAACTGCTGGTTCCCTCCCCCTTGAATTTTAACGTGAAGTGGGCAGAAAGTGGGCTCTCCCTTAGGTACCACACAGTTTAGTAAAGCCCTCTGATCGGAGGTGCCTGCCATCAAGCCGGCCACGCTATTGCTAAAACCGGATGAGAGTGAAGGACAGATTCAGGATCTCTAGGACACAAAGCGGCATCCAGGATTCAAACCACACAGTGGGAATCCCACCGCCTTAATCACAACCCCTGCTGGTCCTGTAAACTGCATATTTTTTTGTTTTGTTTTGAGAGGTTTTTGCTATAGGGCACGTGTGTTCACCAGAAAGACAGAGAGAAACAGAGAGACAGAAAGCGAGAAATCACCCCCTCTCCCGGGGGATGGCCACGCTGCAATCCCCTCTCCTCCATTCTCCTCTCGGGATCTTGGGCACGCACGCACATGCACCCGGCATGAGTTTTAAGCCACTGGGTCCAGGATGCGAACTGCGGTTGACCACGTGGAAGTCCAGCGACATAGCCATTATGCTAACTGCTGGTTCCCTGTAACCTGCATTTTTAAGAAGCAGGTTCTGGGACCAGCAGATGGTGTAAAGGTTACATCGCTGGATTCCCATGAAGTCAACCGTGGTTTGAGTTCTGGACCCGGCGGCTTAAAACTTGTGCCAGGCATGTGAACGTGCATGCCCGAAATTCTAAGAGAAGGGACTGTGGTGTGGTCATCCCTGCTAAGGGTGATTTCTCACTTTTTGTCTGTCTCTCCAGCTAGTGCATTTGCTCTATCGCAAAAATCTCTCTTAAAAATAAAGGGGGGGGGGCAGGAACCAGCAGTTAGCGTAATGGCTGGATCGCTGGACTTCCC